GGCGGCCTCCACCCTCAATTGATGAAATTGAGTAGTTAACTCAGAAACCTGAGAAACCAGGGCCTGGACAGCATGACCCGTAGCCATCATTTGTTCCTCCTGGCGCTCCATGCGGGTGTTGCTGCTAGACAGAAAGTCTCTCAGTTCCGCCGTACTCGCTGGATCCATAGTGATTGGTTCGTTCTGTCACAATGAGGAGTCTCGAGATCCAAGTGCGAGTGAGAAACAATATAGTGAGAAACGGTTTATTGAGAAACAATAACCAGAGAGAACAGCTGGAAAAGACCGCAATCATGAGCCTCAGCAGACATCAGACAGCATGCTCTAGTGACAGTGAGGGATCTCCGATCCAGTGCAAGTGAATCCGAGGATTGCGGAACGATCCTCAATAGGCTGGACGAGAACTGGAACAACGAGCTGACAGAGAGACAGGACATAAGTTAACGAACCAACAAACACACATTGAACAAAGAGCCCTATATAAAGGCAGTGCAAATGAGTCGCAGCTGGCGCGCTCTGATAGGGCCCCAGCTGCCACTACTAATGAATGACGTACATACACACACACATGACAAGACGCAAAAAGACCGCACAGACCCATGAACCGTGACAGTAACGTGTCATTCTGGATTTATATGCACTTAATAAACACAGAGGAAAACTGCTTTATAACATGGAACAACACTTTTCATCATGGCTGAAGGTCCCAGACTGACCTGTTTCTACTAAATACAAAAGCTGCAATGACTCTTGTATTGTACATGCACAAGGTGACCTCAAGGTTCAGGAATAGAATGACTCTTGATATGCCACCATCACCTATCTTAGAATATAAATTATACTTGCTTAAGATGCAGTGAGTTTACATCTATGCTATATCATTGCATACTGTATGTATGGGAGTGGGAAGTCAACGAGTTTTAGAAAGATGTGAAAGAAATGATAGAGAAGATCCTTGATGTTATATTCCATTGCCTTTTTTAATTTATATTCTAAGGAAATCGAGTTTTGTTTTGTTTATTAAATATATATTTATAAACATGTATCCTGCAAACTAAATGGCTTACTTCTTTAAATTGGAAGTATTACAAAATATAGGACATTGCCTGAAAGAAAAGATAACAAATGTCAATGAAAAACATAACTTCTATTTTAATAGATACATTTAAGATCTTTGGCAGAGTTTTGGGACCTTTCTTTAAACATGGTGCATGGTGAGGTGATAGCAGAAGTCTACGAATATAAGAATAGAGGTGGCACTGAACATTATTGTAAGGAAATGGGAAGTTTTGTTTGTTTTGTTTCTTGTACTCATGCATTTCCATGTAATAGAAAGAATATTTGTGTAGTTAAATTTTAATAAAATAACAATAATGGGAAAAACAGGGTCAGAGAGAGGGTGGAAAATAACATTTTGTGTTTTGTGATGCAAAACATTATTTATGCTAAAATAATTAAACCATATTAAAAAATGACACTTTTAAGAATGTTTGATGTTTAATTTCACTCATTTCTAGACATCAATGATTTCTTACAATTGCTAAGTCTTTAAAGAGTTAAACATTTCTTAACACATTTTAGATTGCCAAGGAAGACATTAATGGCAAAAATAAGCATTTACAAACAGCATTCAAAACTAAATCATTTAGACTGCTGGTATAAAATCATCATGCTTAACAGTTTAAAAATAGCTGTGCCCAGTATCAAATATAAATGTTTTATTACTTTTAAATTGTTTAAACAAGATCACACAACCACATTTCCGTAACTCAGTGCAGTAAACTTAATAATTAAGATCAAACTCACAGAGACAGCCAGATCAATTTTAATCTATAGTACCAAAGTGCCTTGATCCACCCTGAAGAATTAATAGAGTCTGAGTAATGGAATAACGGAAACTTCATTAGCATGAATCCAGTCTTACAGAAGTCAATAAGAATCTTTAGTCCATGGGCAGGACCAGCTTCTTGGTGAGGGTATATCGAGGTTCAGGCATCTGTTTGTGGCCACTCAATATTCTCATGCTCACTTCATGGTTTACCTTTTTCAGGATGGACAAGATATCTTCTCTTCTGTAAAAAAAAAAAAAAAGCAGACAAGAACATAACTCTATGAACCCATCTAAATCAAAGCATCATGAGTATTCAACAGGAACATTTTCTTCCCTCAAGCTCACTGCATTTTCACCGCGGTTCTAATGTGTGGTGTAAACACTACGATTAAC